GGCAGGATATGTCTAGCTGGTGGCAGCAGCAGCAATGATGACTTTCTATGAAGCCACAATTAGCTATAGGGAGGATTCGGATCTTCCTGATTTAGTGTAATAAGGTTTACTTGTTAAGAGTTCAAAAACAATAGTAAACGTAAATACGTAATGGTAGAGCTTTTTTCAAACATCACCAGTTATTATGGTCTTTTTTATACGGACCGCATTTTAATATTTTCCCGATTAGTTTCGTATCAAATATTAAAAAAAAAATTTTTTTTTTATTTTTCCCGCATTTCGTGATACAAATAAAAGTTACCCAAAATTAGGAATTTCAGACAATAGAAGCCACACATACATATTACCTAATATTTGATTGATTATGCAATATAATATAAATAGTAAAACATAGGTAAACAGAGTATGACGATGCATATTTTTTTCCCAAAAAAATTAAAAAGAATGAATAATTTAGAAGATAATTTAGCACATTCCGGCGAAAGAGAAAAATTCATTAAAACTACTTATCGATCAAAGTAATTATATTATAATATAATAATTAGTAACCAGTATTATTAAATCGTCATTTATGAACAACCCTAATCTTAATAGAAGTTGGGTGATCAAAAGGATTGAATTAATGATGGAAAAATTATTATTTGATATTTCAATTGGTGAAGCACCAATTATTCCTTCAGTTTCAACTTTAAACAGGAATGAAGATAATATTGTATTTGATTATGAAAATGGGATAATTAGGAGAAAAAATGAAAATATTAAAGAAATTAATTTCTTAAAGAATACAAAAAAATTTGCTATTTTTCTTAGAGTACTAGATATTTGTCATGAATTATTATCTAAAAACATTATAGCGACAAAACGGTATCATGATTCATTTTGTTACAAGTAGATTATTCCTAATTATTATTATTATTGGAAGATGATCGTCATTATTTATTACTACTATTTATTGTTACAGGGATATTTTTTATAAAGACGTCAAATTATTTGGCAATCAGAGCACCGTCGATATAGTAATTATTCAGGCATGAAATGTCATGTATAAATATTAGGGCAATTACTTATAATAATAATAAATGTTATTTAAAGGTTATTGATGAACTATCCTGTCTTTTTCAAATCCCAAGATCTTGTTTGAATGTGGTAAGAGACTAATCATAAAATTAGAAATTCATATAAATATCAAGCGTTAATTATTTGTTCAATAAGATAGCATCTGCTAAAGGGTTGGTTGCCGGTGATTTAAGAATATATCAAAATAATCAGATTTTATTAGATTGTTCAATAGATTCATTATCCAACGGAACTCTCATAAAATCAGTTGACCCTATAATAGAATATAATATCCTTTTATTTTTATTATTATTTAAAATCGGGTTTTTTATTATTTCTTAATGAAAATTTTAATAATAAACATATTGAAACTCGAGCAAATTTTGTTCTCGTCATAGAAAAAGAAGTGACTATCAATTAAACATAATAATAATAATATTTTTATTGTGAGAATATTATGAACTTACTTTAATATATTATGATTTAGGCTACTTTTCAATATTTATTATCAAACAGAATATTTCAAAAATTAGGTGCCTGTATACTGATTACTGTAAGTAAATAAAAATTGTTATTGCAACAATTATTATGACAATTATTCCATTCCATTAAAAATAAATCTCGTATTAATATATATTAATAATAAAATAATAGGGTAAAGGATATCCCGTAAGTTTAAAGTCTAGTCTAATTAAAGAAAAATATAGATTACATTACATTTTATTTAATTATTTAGGACATTGTTACTCGCCAATTAGTTAAGATATTGAGTAATCTACAAAATAAAATTCCAATATTGGGATTTTTCGATAATGATCCGTACGGTAAAGAATTTTTAATTTAATATTAATATATAAATTATTAAAATCAATTAATCATTTTTATGTTAATTATTAAATAAATTAGGAATTGAAATTCTAAGCGTTTATAAATTTGGTTCATTGGTAAACAATCTCAATGGTTTCAATAATGATGATTATATAATTATATATAATATAATGTTCATGAATCTATTAATTTCTAGTCATTGTCGTTTGATAATGAAAACCTGGCAGCTCCAAATTTACGTTGGATCGGTTTGCATTGTAATGATAGAGCATGGTATTTCTTGTTATATATACTATTATCGTATACATTTAATAATTAATAATTAATAATTAACGAATAATTTTTATTTCCTTTAGTTTTAACATTTCCGAGGATACTTTACTTACAATCTCACCTGATGATAGGAAAAAAGCTTCTGATTTATTAGGAAAAAATTATTTACCGTATGAATGGAGGCAAATATCATCATCATTACACTATCGTCACTATTATTATCATATTGAAACGTTAATCTAATCGTGTTTCTGTTATAGGAATGAAATTCTTGAAATTTTGCACACTTGCAAAAAGGCTGAAATACAATGTTTATGTGATAAAGATGACGATGATTTATTAAATTATTTGACATCAAAAATCAAACATCCTATTTCTTGGCTATAAATCAAAATACTTTGATAATAATGGTCACAGGAAATAACTTGCTATGCATTAAAAGTCGTCTAGATGATCTCTATATCCATATAAGCTAAATTTAAAACTTGTACTAACTTCAAATTGAAACAGTTTTACTATATATATTAATATTTTTAAATGTATCCGTACTAGGGTAACCCCCGTACTCATGTATGCAATTTAAAAAAATAATAAATAATGTCGTGGCTTTTATTGTTTGAGTTTCCAATTAAGTGTGTGCATTTCATTTTTCTCAAATAATGTTAAACATCGGGCGAAATCAAACAAAACTCCCATATATAGATTATATCACAATAATTTGGTATAAAGTTTTTTAATTTAGTAGTTAAAATAAAATAAATAAACGCAATTTCCCAATTAATATTATTCATTTTGTCAAAACAAATCCATATATAGATTAGATCAAATCAATAATTTTCTTATAAAAATAATGACTTTCGATATTTCAATTATTTAAAATTAATAAAAATAAAATAATAAAATAATAAAAAATAATAAAATAATAATAAAAAATAATAAAAATGTCATTTTCTACTTTTTCAAGACGTGGTTATAAAAAACCCTCAACCCCTAGAGAATTCGCAAAAAGTGCAAAGAAACGGAATTCCGTTTTGTCACTCGGAAGCATTACTCATTTACAACATTTTTATGCGAAAAGAAATATAATAATTAAACCAAAATTACCAAAAAACATGTAAGCTTTATATATATTATATATTATATATTATATCATATCATATAACAAATATATTTATTAATAAATATCATTATTAATATCGTTATTAGTGAAGAAGCCAGAATAAAGAAATTTTCAATAGATGCAAATATAAACATGCCTGACCTGTTACAAGTCACTGAAGAATTTGATGACGATTTTCCTCCCACTCCTATTCCCCCAATACCACAACCCACACTACCATATTTTTTAATGAATAAATTGGATGTTGAAGTTGATCCTGATGTACTTTTAGCAAATTGTCATGCTAACATTCAAGGAATAGTTGATGTCTGGCGTATCAATAACACTGACGATTATGATAAATTAAATGAAAATATCGACACTTCAAAAGCAATTGAATCCACATCAATTTTAATAAAATCAGTAAAAGATTACTCGATGATAAAACAAGATATTTCTAACGAATCTCTTTCGATGCTTAGAGTTGCCACTTTAGAAGTTCTTGAAATGATAGACGATCTTGAGACTTCTCTCAAAAATAATAACAATAACAATAACAGATCGTTGGCTAGACAACAAGAAATTATACAAAGATACATTCAAACAGTAGAAGATTACCTACTATTCGATAAAGATATTCATTTAAATACAGCATCATACTTGAAAAGATTTTCTTTAACTGACACCAGAAGAGACAGTGGTATTTCATTATCGACTCCTCCATTAACTCCCACATATAGGATTGACGATTCTTGGTTAGATTCTGAAAATTTCGGCGATGATAAATTAGGTAAATTTTTTTTCCTATTGAAAGAAAAATATTCATTTTCCTTTTTTTTTTTTTTTGTATTAATTTAATTAATTTATAAAAATAATTTTTTTTAGCTAGATATCACGCTTTTTTGGAAGCATTTGTACCATCAAAATTAAAACAATCACCTAATTATAAACCAATCCCAGATCCAAGAATTGATAAATCTGAATTTTTGAAATCATTATCGTAAGTAGTAAAATATATTGTATTCTATAAAAATAAATATTTTATTTTTTCTTTAAATCATAATCTTTACATTATTTTAAATAATATTTATTGTTTTTAGTGATGGCAGATTATTATGTAATATTTATAATACGATCGTTAAATATTCTAAACAACCCTTTGGATTTATTGATAAAATTCATGAAGATACATCAAGAACATATCGTGTCATAGAAAATCTAAACTTTTTTGCAACGTTAGTATTTCTTATTAGATTTTTTTTATAAATGATTTATAAAATATATTAATATATTAATGTTTATATATATAATCATTATTTTTTAGTGCTGTAAAATTACGATTCGATGTGAAATTTGAAGAATTCGATGTAAAAGAAATCAAAAATTTAACAGAAATCGGTGAAATTCATGTAAGTAATTTTTTTTTGATTAATTAAATTCTTGATGATTAATTCCTTGGTTTGTTTTTTATTAAGTTAAAGCCATACTTATTAATAAATTTTTTTACTTTAAAAATTATTAGTTGGAAAAAGCTTTGGAATTATTTTGTGAAAAAGCAATGAATGAATCAATATCGACCGGATCACATCATAATCGAACAAATTTATCAGGATCTTCTTCTTCATCACCTATTCGGCAAGAAACAAATGATTCTAAATTATCCAAAGAAAATCAAGATTTAGCAACAGAAATTAGTGCTAAATTATCGACTTATTTAAATCAACAAAAAAATATATAATAATAACAATCCATTTAAAAATAATTTTATTAAAATTTTAATTGTAATATTTTTTTTTTAATTGTAATATTTTTTTTTAATTGTAATATTTTTTAATAGAATGTAATTTTATATTTAAAACTTTTTTTAAAAATTATATTACCATAAAATTAATCATTTATGTTAATCTAAAGAATTTGTTCTATTCTCTTTGTCATTTTTTACAAGATCTTCAGATTATATAATAATCTCTTTTCTCAAGAGCCCAAGAAATTCAACCAGAACCTTTTTTGAATACTAGTTTATGTGCTGACTAATCAAAGAAATGTGTTGACCAATATAATGGACTTGATCTTTTCAACCCACTCTACTATTATAATTTCAATTTCTCAATCTTGGTATGAATCATTTGTCGTTTTTGTCTGTATCGCCATTGTTATCATATCCTAAAGCCTGTAATTCATTCTGTATAAAAATATTATATGAAGAATTAATAAATCAAAAGCATATACGTATATAGACAGCTCCTCCTATTTAGAACATACTAATAACTTTGGATCATTCATATCTTCTTCAGTAAGTTCAATATCATCATCAGCAACATCTTTAGTTAAAGCGTCTATTGCTTCATGATTTATTCCAGGTAAAATTGGAATAGAACTTGTGGGTTTTTTTGCTACTGGTTTTGGCTTAACTTTTGGTTTTGACTTTTCATTACCTGAAACTAAGGCTTGCAGCTCTCCCTTTTATTTTTTATTTTCAAAAAAAGAAAAAAGAATTATATAACGATTGTTAAATTTTAACAAGGTTTTTTTTATAATTACAAGTAAAACTGGATCAACCAAGTCGGCTTCTGTTAATTCGTCATTCCCGACGGGTAACTCTAAATCCTCCTCGCCAAGTCCTTCGATATCCAACTCTGATAAATCTAAGTTAGTTGGACTTTTTTGTGATGTATTCGTACTGGCATTGGTATTGACGGTGACTTTAGTTTCTTCTGTTTTTTTTCTCCACAAAAACATTTTTTATAAATTTTAAGCTGCAAAAAATTTACCAGATCAGCGAATCAATCAGTTAATTTCCTCGTACTGCGTGCGATAAATGAAATATATAGTGGATTTTCCCTTTTTTAAAATTTAAAGATGGTTAGTATTAATTCTTTTGTATAGTTTTAAATCAAGAAAATATTAATCAATAAAGAATGTTTTATTAGGACTTATTATTTGGACGTAAAAAGGCACCAGCAGAAATACCACATGAGCATCAACGTGCGCTTCAAAGGGCACGGCGTGAAATGGGTCGTGAGAGAGTCAAACTAGAAGCTTCAGAAAAAAAAATTAATAGCAGATATTAAAAAAGCAGCAAAAGAAAATCAGATGGTAGAACATTTTTTACAAGAATATAAATACTTTCACAACATATTTTTTAAATTTTTATATGTGAAGTTAGCATACAATAAAATACTCTCGTCATAAAAAGAAAGGTGATCAAAACATACACTATTAATTCTCAAAATAATCAATTGTAAATATTTGAACCTGAACATGGAAATATTATTCAGTGCATTAATGATGATAACAGTAAAAATTATGTAGATAATGATGGTAACAACAATCACGAGGAACTTTGATTAAATTTTCCATCATTTTTCACCATTGACTACTTTTTTAATTAGTAATAGCAGGTTACATCATTTTTAAAGAGACTTTTTTGATATATGAAGTTAGCATCTTATTTAAAAAAAACAATACAAAAGAAGAGTAATCGAAGTTTACTTTTAAAATTTTACATTTACCTAAAGTAAAAAATCCTAGAAAAATAATAATTTTCAAAAAAAAAATCATGATTCAAAAAACTTCAACAGGACAAATTATTTTGGTTTTTATTGTTTTATTTTTCGTTATTGCTACTACAGAAGCTGGACCTTTGGCATATGGCTGTTGTCAGGCTGCTTGTAATCTTGCATGGGTCAGTTGCTATGCGGCCTCTGGCCTTACAGCAGGTAAATACTTTATGCACAACTTGAATTTGTTTGTTTATTTATAAAATTATTGTTGTTATAATTGTAGGGACATTAACTGGAGGTGCAGCATTACCAACGGCAGCTTTGGCATGTAATGTTTGTCAAGGAGTGTGCATGACTGCCTATGCAGGCTGCTTTTTGGCACCAACCCCATGAAAAAAAAATTTTTTTATTTTTTTTTATAAATGAAATTTTTTATGAATATTTTTTTTATTGTATAAAATCATGTTGGTCAAAAGTTGACTGCATTGTGTTATCTATATTATTTATATACAAAATTTTTTTTTTTAATTTCAAATCAATTACTTTTAATACTGTAAAATACATCCTTTTTCAAAACAGCAAGATAAAAGATTTAACAATGCGATATTGAATTTAAAGCGACCTTTGAATTGTTCAAGTTTATTCAGGGACCTTTTACTGTAAATTTTTGAATGAAAATTGCTCCGAGTTGGTGAATTAAAAAAACTTTGTGTTCTGTCAACGCGGCAATACAGTTTCGGCTAAAAGTAATTATAATAATATGGCCGAGTAGTTTACTTAAATACAATATTTTTTTCATTGTTAGCTACATCATTCTTTTATTTTCACTATTTTCACAAAATTACATGTTAAAATAACGTGATTTGGAATTAAAAAAAAATTAAAAAAAAATATTATTTAAAAGTTCTCAAGTGCCTCAGGGGACTGGTGCCAGCAACCAGAATGCGCATATAGACATGCATGTTCCTTGAATTGTATTGCATGCCAAAGCCACAAACGGCATTCCCACACCTGCTGTTACTGTCCCTGCAATAATTACAATAATAATATTAATATATAAATGGATAAATAATATAAGTTGTGTATAAAGATTAGCTAAACTTACCGGCTGTAAGACCACCGACCCAGTAACAATTTACCCAGATCGTGTTACAACCAGTCTGACAAATGGCATATGAAATAAAACCGGCATCGGTATTGTTAATATTAATAATTAAAATGATAAAAATTAAAAAAATTTGTTTTTTTGAATTTTTTTGAATTATCATGTTTAAAAAGGAAATTTTTTATAAAGATGAATAATAATCGATTCTGTGTAATCTTAGTGTTTGTATATACTCGTAATACATGAGTACTCGTAGATCATGCTATTAATAGAAAGATCTGCACTCATGAGTACTCACGAGTACCCAAGTGTTACAAAGCGATATTGACCTATCATATTTAGACATTTTATTATGATCGTTATTATTATTATGGTTGGCTCAGTCTAAAGACCTCCTATTTCTGCGCCACGTGGCCAAATTTCAAAAATAGCAATTTTGTAATTTGTTCAAAAATGCAA